AATGAAGTGCACTTGTATAAATTGAATTAGTCAGAATTAATTCTAAAATTAAATTACGAACTTCCCAAAATTTGAAACTTTGATGTTTTAATGAAAAAAAAAAAAAAATCAAATAATGACACTGTCATAAACAGTAAAACATATCATGAAGTTTCTGAACATTTCTCAGATAATGTGATTTCAAGCTTTAACTTGAGTTTGTGCTACATCCATCAAATTCTCTGCTATATAATTTTTTCTTTGAGTTGAAATTTGAAATCCCTTTTTTCTAATAGAAACTTTTTTGCTGACATATAAAAAAAGTGAATTCAATCTGAATGCTAATGTTTACCGTCATGAAAAAAAAAAAGATTTAAACTTCCCTCGCATATCTTACATTTTAAATAAGAACCGCTGAGAACTTTTTACCATCCCTAATTGAGACTTTTTGAAAAATTTGAATTTATTAAACTGGATCGTCAGTAATTAATTCTGATTTATTCAGGGTTTGTTAATTTATGACCGTAAATTTTATTTCTTTATACTGGCAATCCTAAAAATGGCAACGATACCAGAAGAAATTAATAAAAAGCTACACAGAAAAAAAAGACATTCTCATGAATGTGAAAAAGTGAGCGACAAATTGCAAATTGTCACCATGAAATGCAAATGAAAATTGATAAATAGCATTTTAATGACTCGTCAACAGAGTTGTCCAAGACTTTTCCTTTTTTTTATTTAAACATTCTCTATTCAAAACTGTTCACAGGACCCTCATCAAAAAAAGTTTTTTCTTCCTTTTTGTTTGAATATAAATGGATGGAAAGGGAAAGAAAAGTTTATCAAAAAGCAGCGACATGTCATCATCATCATCATCCGTGAATATTTCTTCCTCACTTAAATTTTTTTTTGTTCCTCAATTGATCAATTTTCTTACTCCGCTGTTTTTCAATCAAACTGAAACCTTGACGTAATAGACAAAAATCTTCATTTTACAGATCTTGAATAGAAATAAGAAGGTTAAGGAAAAACATGTACATGTTATTGATATTATTATTTTTCTTCTATTGCTAAGTATGAAATAAGCCAGTATGTCTGGATGAAAAATGTTCTATAATTGAGAATAAATTCAAAAAGAATTTAGAGCAATGTAGAGCGATTCGTGATGAGAATTATATAAAATTTCAGACTTTCTTTTTTAAGAGAATCTAAAAAGGGGCCATTCCCTTGTGACATCCATCAAAAACCTAGCCCCTCCCTCCCTCTGTCACGTAACTGTCACCGATGTCAATATCCCCCCCCACAATGTCACAAATTTCCTGACCCCAATCCCCCCTCCCTCCCTCCCGTGTCACAATGCGTCACAAATTTTTTTACTCCCCCTCCCCCTTAAATGTTGAACATCATATGTGAACGACCCCGAAGCATTATAATTCTTCTGAATTGTTTTTTTATATTCACACCGTTTTCACGTGTGAATGTTTTGTTTTTGTTCAGATTGAAAAATCAGTTTTTTGGATTTTGTGAGTTAACGAAGCATTTTAGCTATAAATGTATAGAGAAAAAAGTTTTTGCCTGAAATTTTACATCTTATGCAAAAAACAGATTTCAAATTGGTTGCGGCGTTGCTGAGAAAATCGAAAAATACGCTTTCTGAAAGCAAGCAAGCAAGTTAATCGGCAGAAAATCTCAATATCGAGACATCGTAGAGACTTCTAGTTTTTTACATTTGATCCGTGCTGGTCTATAGAAGAGCTGTAATGTTTTTGAGCAAGGTAGGAAGAGCCGTTGCTTCAAAAAAAGCAAAAAACCTTCTTTTTTTACGGTTTTTGAAAACCAAGTTTACTTTTTTTTTTTTTAAATTAAACTTTGGATGAAAAAATTTTTTTTGAGCAAAGAACCAAGTAGAAAATACATTTTCAATTTTGGACTAGGGATGACCCTAGTCAAAATCAATTTTGTCACTTTTTTCTTCCAGGGTTTATCCAAATGGATTGAAACTTTGCATAAATATTTTAGTGCTTAAAACAAATACAAATGAAACATCTTAAAATTTTTTGAGCAAAGAACCAAGTAGGAAATACATTTTCAATTTTGGACTAGGGGCGACCCTAGTCAAAATCAATTTTTTCTTCGAAAGTTTATCAAAATGGATTGAAACTTTGCATAAATATTCTAGTGCTTAAAACAATTACAAATAAAATATCTTAAAATTTTTTTGAGCAAAGAACCAAGTAGGAAATACATTTTCAATTTTGAACTAGGGGCGACCCAAGTCAAAATCAATTTTCTCACTTTTTTCTTCGAGGGTTTATCCAAATGAATTGAAACTTTGCATAAATATTTTAGTGCTTAAAACAAATACAAATAAAACATCCTAAAATTTTTTTGAGCAAAGAGCAAAGAACCAAGTAGGAAATACATTTTAAATTTTGAACTAGGGGCGACCCTAGTCAAAATCAATTTTGTCACTTTTGTCTTCGAGGGTTTATCCAAATGGATTGAAACTTTGCATAAATATTTTAGTGTTTAAAACAATTACAAATAAAACATCTTAAAATTTTTTTGAGCAAAGAACCAAGTAGGAAATACATTTTCAATTTTGGACTAGGGGCGACCCTAGTCAAAATCAATTTTTTCACTTTTTTCTTCGAGGGTTTATCCAAATGGATTGAAACTTTGCATAAATTCTAGTGCTTAAAACAAATACAAATAAAACATCTTAAAATTTTTTGAGCAAAGAACCAAGAAGGAAATACACTTTCAATTTTGGACTAGGGGTGACCCTAGTCAAAATCAATTTTGTCACTTTTTTCTTCCAGGGTTTATCCAAATGGATTGAAACTTTGCATAAATATTCAAATGCTTAAAACAAGTACAAATAAAACATTCTAAAATTTTTTTGAGCAAAGAACCAAGTAGGAAATACATTTTCAATTTTGGACTAGGGGCGACCCTAGTCAAAATCAATTTTTTCTTCGAAAGTTTATCAAAATGGATTGAAACTTTGCATAAATATTCTAGTGCTTAAAACAATTACAAATAAAATATCTTAAAATTTTTTTGAGCAAAGAACCAAGTAGGAAATACATTTTAAATTTTGAACTAGGGGCGACCCTAGTCAAAATCAATTTTGTCACTTTTGTCTTCGAGGGTTTATCCAAATGGATTGAAACTTTGCATAAATATTTTAGTGTTTAATACAATTACAAATAAAACATCTTAAAATTTTTTTGAGCAAAGAACCAAGTAGGAAATACATTTTCAATTTTGGACTAGGGGCGACCCTAGTCAAAATCAATTTTGTCACTTTTTTCTTCGAGGGTTTATCAAAATGGATTGAAACTTTGCATAAATATTCTAGTGCTTAAAACAATTACAAATAAAACATCTTAAATTTTTTTGAGCAAAGAACCAAGTAGGAAATACATTTTCAATTTTGGACTAGGGGTGACCCTAGTCAAAATCAATTTTGTCACTTTTTTCTTCGAGGGTTTATCCAAATGGATTGAAACTTTGCATAAATATTCGAGTGCTTAAAACAAGTACAAATGAAACATCTTAAAATTCTTTTGAGCAAAGAAACAAGTAGGAAATACATTTTCAATTTTGGACTAGGGGCGACCCTAGTCAAAATCAATTTTCTCACTTTTTTCTTCGAGGGCTTATCCAAATGAATTGAAACTTTGCATAAATATTCTAGTGCTTAAAACAAATACAAATAAAACATCTTAAAATTTTTTTGAGCAAAGAACCAAGGAAGAAATACATTTTAAATTTTGAACTAGGGGCGACCCTAGTCAAAATCAATTTTGTCACTTTTTTCTTCGAGGGTTTATCCAAATGGATTGAAACTTTGCATAAATATTCTAGTGTTTAAAACAATTACAAATAAAACATCTTAAAATTTTTTTGAGCAAAGAACCAAGTAGGAAATACATTTTCAATTTTGGACTAGGGGCGACCCTAGTCAAAATCAATTTTCTCACTTTTTTCTTCGAGGGCTTATCCAAATGAATTGAAACTTTGCATAAATATTTTAGTGCTTAAAGCAAATACAAATAAAACATCTTAAATTTTTTTTGAGCAAAGAACCAAGGAGGAAATACATTTTAAATTTTGAACTAGGGGCGACCCTAGTCAAAATCAATTTTGTTACTTTTTTCTTCGAGGGTTTATCCAAATGGATTGAAACTTTGCATAAATATTCTAGTGTTTAAAACAATTACAACTAAAACATCTTAAAATTTTTTTGAGCAAAGAACCAAGTAGGAAATACATTTTCAATTTTGGACTAGGGGTGACCCTAGTCAAAATCAATTTTGTCACTTTTTACTTCGAGGGTAATAAAAAGTAATTCAGGATTAATTACTTTTTAATAATATTTTAACATTTACGAGAAAATGTGGTTCAAATAAGTGTGAAGTATGGCCGAGATTTGGACTAAAATCAGCTATACTGGTTCATAGTGTTCCCGAGTGTGACAAAATTCAAACTACGTGTTTTTGTAGCTGACATAATTATAACATAAATTAGTTATAACTTTTGAACTGTGTCGATCTATCCATAAGACTTTTGATGGTACGGTGTGAATATATCCGCATTGGGTTTCTATCCGATACACTAGTTTCTTTGAAGCAAATGGGCTGCTAGCTTTAGGCTAGTTATGTTAAATGAGTTTTTGATTGTTAGGGCGTGAACAGTAGATAATCAGTATTCATTCCCAATAAATTTATGAGAACTTTGCAGCAATCATTGATATATTTGGGTTTAATGCTAACCAAGCTTTTAATCTATCCACACAATCTGGATTACAAGTTGTTTATACAAAATGAAAATGATAGCTTATTTCTTTATGACTCCCCGTGATTTTTGATGGACATTTAGAGAGAGAATAATAAACATTCCAAAGTTCTTACAATAACTTTATAAGTAATTTTTCTTCTATTTCATTGAAACTTCAACAACAATAACAATAAAATGTCATCGCTTTGAACAAAAAAAAAAAAACATGGAAAAAGGAAGAGGAACTGTAGGAGAGAAATAGCATCTGAAAGTCATCAATGATAATGATGAAAACGATGGGATTTCATTTTATAATAGAAAAGCATTCATCAAAACGGAAATTGATGTATTAAATGGCATCGTAGTCTTAGTTGAGAAAAGGAACGATAAAAAGAAAAGAAAAAAATAAAAAATAGAACAAATCACCGTTTTAGTGAAAATAAATGGAAGTGTATTTTCATCCTAATTGCCATCATCGCAATATCCTTTGGGCATCATTATGTTCGTATTTCATACCTGCACTTTTACTTAGCTTCTTTGTGCAAGAATGCTCATCGGACCCGAGTATAACATGTGAGTATTTAATAATCGATTTATTATCTGCTTTATTGAATTAATATCCTTTTATCTTCTAATAGATCAAATCGGTCAATTATGTGAGAGATCACATAACAACTTTTTATCGACGTATCGTAAAATTGATGGCGCTGAAATCATATCGAAAAATGAGAGAAATCTCGACTGTACACTTACATTTCAAACGCATTCGATATTGCAACGTTTTATGCTTAGATTCGAAGTCCTAAAGCTTGATTGTAATGATCATCTGTACATTTATGATGGTGCACATAGCTCTGGTATACATAAAGCGGATGTTAGTTGTCGTAATACAAAACAGAATCTTGGAACACTCTTTACTCGCACAAATTATATCACACTAAAATACGTGACAGATAACTGGGGTAGCGACAATAGCTTCAAGCTGATAATAACAGCTATCAAGGATGGAAGTAATGCGTGATGAATATTAAGCGTGCTTTGCTGGAGCACGCTGAAAATTTATAAGTCTCAATCATCAATTTCCTCTTTTCTTATTCCTTAACTTTTTTCTTACATGCCTCACACTCTTTAGAGCACTCGTGTAAAGATTTTCGTTGTGTAACAAAGGAGTTTTGCATAAGTCCTGATTTGCTATGTGATAACGTGAATCATTGTGAAGATGGGTCTGATGAAGCTATCGGAACGTTATGTGAAGGTAAGTTTTTCATCTTCTTATTATTATGCTCTTATTGCTATAATTTGTTGAGTGCGTAGTGTACTTCTTCTCCCTTCTACTCCTATTCTCATTATTTTTCCTACCTAACGTTCATAACAGGTGAGCAAGGTAGTGAGGATGTGCTGGAAAATTTATGATGATGTCTTGATTTATTTCTCTTTGCTTTTTTCTCTCTCTTTCTACCTGTTTCTTTCATTTTCATCATCGCTTTATGCGCTTTAAATGAATTTTCGGAACGTTTGCGGAATATTATTGTATTTAGCGCCTATCAATGATACCGTTTTCGGTATGACGTCGGAATGGATTGTTGTGATAACAATTTGTTTGTTATTAATGATGGTAGCGTGCGGAGTAGGTATCGGTATTTGTATATGTCGACGAAATACAAATCGAAATATAATAATGAAAGGAAGCCAGATGACTACTACTACAACATCGAACGATGTCAATGGTCAGAAACATTTAAACTTCTATCGCCCTGCAGTATTAGGTGAGTAATGAATGACTCGATTAAATTTAAACACAATGATTTATTGTGTGTCATGATGATGGCTTCAATGTCGTAATTTCTCACAAATAGAATCATAACAAATAAGTTCATTAAAGAATTAAGTACAAAATCATACGGCCTGAATCGATAATTAATTAACAATATTTTCCAATATTCCATCTACGCTATCTGATTATATAAAAAAAATCACTTTACTAATGCTCCCATTCTTTTTATTCTCTCTAGATTATCTCCACATTTTGCAACGAAAATTAACAGGGGAGATCCGTCCTTATTGTCAAATAATCATTTAAATGATAACGAATCACACCGTACTCAAAAAGAGGAATGGTTCGTTTAGGGAAGTATTAATTAAAAGAAATCTCTAAGATTTTTTTTAATTCTTCCCTTTTTCAAATCAATGATTGTCGACAATAAAAAAATTGAGGAATTAATTTAATTAAAATATTGTGTAGAACGGAAAATTTATTATACGATGAATACATAAATCGCATTTTCTATTACAATATATTCCCTATAGGAGAAAAAAAAGTATTTAATGAGCTGCAGGGCGTAAAAATAAATTACTATAGCATTATACAATACTTGGAAGTGAGAAATGAAAATATCAAAATTTGTCAACTTAATTCCATAGGATTCTAATTTTAATGTGAACAATTTTAATTGAAATTTTATGTATTTATTTTGTGGTGTAATCTTCAGTATTTTATCTCGTACAATTCTCTCATTATTATCCTTTAAACCAAATATGTACTTAGTAGACTCTGTTTTTTTTTATCAGTGCTGTCCAAACTTTCTGCCTTACAATCAAAAAGTTTATTTCATAATTAGAGTGTCTAAAATTTTTTCTCGTTAAAAGTAAGAACATTTCAGCTTAAAAGACAATTAACATGAACCATGAGACATTTTTGGACACTTACATTTAAAAGAAACCTCTTTGAAATATTGAACAAATGACCAGTTTCCTACCAATTTGTTTGTGGCTTATCAAAATAATTATCGTAAGCTTTTCATCCATACTCAAAATATAAAATCTCTAGATATGCATCTTTAACCAAAATTCATAAATTAGCTCATAATTAAAAAAAGCTTTTGGTTTTTTTAAAGGAAAATCTTTTCTACAAGCTCCAATAAGAAGAAACAGATTTTTTACATCCTAAAGATATCAGAGAAAATAATCTGTGTTATTGGATTAAGTTGGACAGTACTGATATTATTAATACACGTGTAAAATAATTTCGATAATAATATAAATGGCATTAAACATAAAATATGAGAGTGTGATTGCATGCATGCATGTGATATTTAAATGTTTTGTTGCAAATTAAATAATAATCACACTAATTATGACATATGTAATTTTATGTTTATTTCTAAGAACAAATTTATGAGATCAAAATAGACAAATTTTTAAACATGAAGCTATAAATGAGCTTCAAAGGAAATGAATAATAATTAGGAAAATTTGATTTTAAAGTAAAGTTATTTGTTGAAAAATTAAATTTATTACAAAAAAAAAGTTAAGTTTCTAAAGGATAAAGAAAAACTTTAAACTTGCTAATTACGTGAAGAACAACAAGAGCAACATCACCATACTGCAATAAAACAGTACACTTGTTTTTAATTTCAATAGGAAGTAAACGTGACCAAAAGCGCGCAACATCAAAATGAAATAAATTTTAAGTGTTTTATTCCTGCAACATTTAAAAGTAATTAGTATGCAAGACTCCTTATAAATTATAAATCCATGTTATAATTAATGATATCTAAAATGAAGTGAAAGTACTTGATAATAAGAAGTCATATCATCTTAATACATAACAATTTTTGCAGAATTTATATAACTGATAATAAATCATTAGTGCATTCAACATATTCTACGTAGAAAATAAAATTATAAAGTGCATGAGAGAATGTATGAATAAGTGACAGCAACTTAAAACTTGAATATTGTGAAAAAAAAATATACTTTATTTTCACTTTGTCACCACAACGAGACGAAGCATCCCATCTTCATTTAGATGATAAAAAAAATATTACAATAAGTAGAAAAAGAAATGAATATCATGTTGATTAAATGTCTAATTAATTACACATTCGCATACCCACTCCAGTTTTCGATTCTCTCAACCACTTATACACAAAATGTTTTACATGATGTAATAAGCACTAAAGTATCAACATGTAATCTTGTACGTACATACGCAAGATGAAATATATACATATTCATACAGGATTAAATAAACATCAAAAATTTATGTTAATTGTTACCAAACTATAGGCATTATGGAAGTAAAAATCATACCAAGAAATTTATTTTGGCATTTACAAGTAGCACCGCAAAATTTTAGGAATTTTTATTGAAATTGTCAGACATTTTATCTACAAACATATTTATGCACAAGTCTCTGATTTCACAGCCTTTTGTAATTGTCATTAAAAAAATACCATCAACATTCATCACTTGAAATCTACTTTACGAATGAAATAACAGTCACAGATAAATTATTTTGCTAAATATCATGCGGCAACAAAACCATATTTTCAGTTCCTAGAATTTTAATCTCGCGAGAATGGAATTTAAATTTCATAATTTTGATACATTGTAGTTTATCAATGCATGTACTTTATCATTAATCTTGATTTATGAATGTAAATTCTGATGATAATTATCATGTTGATGATCAATTATGAACGAATGCGTACAATAAATTAATCATAATGAGGATTGAACATTTTAGTAAAGCCGTTTTGAATTTTCTGCATGCTTGCCAGCATACGTGACATAACATCACATAGTATTTCTACCAATTAATCAATTTAAAAACGACAATAAATCCTTCTATTTAATACTATCTAAAATAAATATATTAATTATGTTGAACACATAAACTAATGATAATTATTTATATCTGTATGTTATGTACATTAACATACATGCTAAATCTAGATCAATATCGAAACATGAACGAATGGAACACTGTCTAGAATAAAATTTAAAACTTTTAAACACAATGTTCATCTAAATCAATTAAATACACCTGATGTGATTGAGATATATCTTATTATATTTAACATATCGATCTTTGCAAATCGATATTTTATCATGGCTCATACATATTCATATGTCATTGGAAGAATGTTATGTTAAATTAAATCTTTCACTTTCAAAAATCAGCATTAAAATTAAAAATAAAACAAATTTTAAAAGTTAAGAATAGCCTTTGTTTCATTTATTTGGTTCCCGCATCGTTTTAAATTGTTTCAGTTTCAATGCGTTCTTTATTTTGAATTGCCGTTGGCTTGTGGAAATGTATAAATGTGAATTTTGATGATTTTGCAGGATCTCTTAATTGTCGACAACATAAATTATAAATTTAAATAATTTCAAGACTTGAAAATTGAGTCAATCTCAGACAATCACGGTTCTGAAACAATTAAATCCACATATTTAGCTATGTCCAGTTTTGTACATGTAACAAACACTTGCTATTGAAAAATCATCAAACCCTGCAAAGTAAATTACTTAATCCAAGTTGGGTGTGTAATCAACACAAATACCTTATATTTAATTTTTAATTTTTTAGGCTTTTAAGTAGTTTATACCAGCATAAATATGGATTTCATGAAAACCTGCGCAACAATAATCTTATTACTATCATTTTTTGAAGCCAGTAAGTTAAAGAAGCTTCAAAAAATTAAATCTGAATATTTTGTTTATTAATGAGATTCAAACAAAAATATTTTACATGATCTTTCAGCAACGGCTCTTGAATGCTATGTTTGCGCAAATCAATCTGATAATGCTGGAAAGTGCCTTAACACAATCAAAACTTGTGAACCAGATGAGGATGTATGCAAAACAGAAATTCGATGGGGTAGGTCGAATGCTGAAATGTTAAAAAATGATTTCTATGTTACCATTTCTTTTTTCAGGTTCAACACCTTATTGGGATTTTGGAGCACCAAAACAATACTACGTATCGAAGAGTTGCTCGACAAAGAAAAAGTGTCAATCTATAAGAAAAAAGTATATGCCATACTGTACTCATATTTGGTATGAAGATTGGTCTTGTTCAGAATGCTGTTTGGGCGATCGGTGCAATTACTTTGTAATAAGTGGAAGTTCAACGATAATATCATCATTTGCCATGATGATTATTACGTACATAATCAGTAGAATAATGTAAATCTCTTCGAGAATCTCACAAAAATATTCCGTCCAAATTTTATTAGTTCTTAGAAAGTTTTAACATTCCATTTAATCTGATCTTATTTTATAGATCTGAAAATATATTCAATGACAATTTTTTATAAATAAAGTTTTAAATAATTTTTAAAATGAACTTAATCGTGTTTTTTGAAGCGTCATTTAAACTTCTACAATCTTTTATTAGTAAATGCATTTCTCAATTTTCCTTTATATTGCTACTCGTGACTAATAAAATTGTTGAAAACTGTCGCTAAAATTATTTCCAAGTTAATGCTCAGTCAGCGTTTTCAATTCAAAGTGAAAAGATCAACTTAAAAAGCTAGGACACAAAATGAAGAAAATATTTTCTTGTTTAATAATTTTAATTTTTTTAAAGCACTCATATGCTTTAGAATGTATAGCATGTGAAGCTACTGATACAGATGAAACATGTGAACTTTCATATAAATGCCCAAAAGGATCTAAATATTGCGAAACTTTAGTCTCAAAAGTTGAAGGAAGTTACTCTGTTGTAATGTCCTGTTCTACAGAAGAAAAATGTGATGCAGAACCAATTTTGAAAGATGGCTTAGACGAATGTAATCATGATGAGTAAGTATCGTTGCAAATCTATTTTCATTAGAATATCTACTTACACATGTGTCGTTTTCAAAAGAAATGGAACTAAGATGATTTGATTTTTCTCTAAACTTGATTTATACAGGGACAATACAGAATGTTATACATGTTGTAAGGATGACGATTGCAACACTTTAGAAGCCGCTCTTAAAAAATTGCCAGATGATATTTTTGAAACTGAAAAACCTGCCAAAAAAGCAAAAAAATCTAAAAGTAAGAAGCAAAATGACGAGGAAGAAGAGGACACTGAAGAAACAGCAGAAGAAAGTGAGGATGAAGAAGATGAAAACGTGGAAAAATCAAAATCAAAAGATAAAAAATCAAAAGATAAAAAATCAAAGAATAAGCAGGAAGAACCTGAGACAAAAGAGGAAACAGACGAAGAAAATGCAGAGGAACCAAAGGAAATAGAAAAAGATGAAGCCGAACCAAAGGAAGCAGAAAAAGATGAAGTCGAGCCTGAAACGGATGAATCCGATATAGAAGTGAAAAGCAGCAATGAAACGACTGCAAAAATTGCTAATGAAAGTCCTGAAAATGGAACTGTTATAGATCAAACAAACATTGACAATAATACTGTTGTGGCTACAAATATAACTGAAAATGCAATTGAAGAAAGAACAGGAAATAATGGTGATGCTGGAGATTTACTGAAACCTCTTGATTCTAATATTCAAGAAATCGATAAGACATTGAATGAAATCGTTGACGAAGTTGATGATTTAGCAGACAATTTTGATAATTCAGGAAATGCTGAAAATATTGGGAATGTAGAAAACACAGGTGTCAATACTGAAAATGTAGATCCTAAAGCAGATATTACTGGCATGGAAGAGACCAAGGTAGAAAATGGAGTTGAATATAATGCACCACAAAATCCTGAAAATGAATTACCACTAGAAGACATTACAAATGGCGAGTCTAATATAATGTCTGAAGGTGAAAATGCTAATGAAGGTGGAGAACAACACGAATTGGTAGATGCTCCATCATCTTCAACAAAATATCAAATTTCAGAAATTCTTCTTGCTGCATTTTCCATTTTAATTTTAATTCAATTATATTAAATTATAATCATGCAATAATTTACTGTATCTGTTCTACACTCATTTGAGATTTAATAAAGTCCTCTTATCCTTTCATTTTTGAAAGAAATAAAATTTTGCGCAAAATTAAATTAATTTTTTTTGCTTATCAGCGAGCTTTGCAAAAAATTTTCCAATTTTTCTTCGACCAATTCAGATCAAAATTTTTCAATTAAGCACTTTTGGAACCAAAATTTAATTTGTTATAATGGATTCAACTTCAAAAACATCAGTTCAGTTCTCACATAAATCAAGTGTCGTCTCAATCAGCAATCGATCAACGTTAGTAAACCAAAAGATTCTTTTTTATATAGAAATTCTATAATTTTTTTACAGTACTTCAAGGGGGACTTTGCCATCTATAGCAATTTCAACAGGAACTCGATCATCTACAACGATTTCAAGGAGTACTCGTCCATCTACAGGAATATCAAGTATAGCTTCTTCTGTAAACGGAGATCGATCAGAAAGTAGAAAATCTAGGAAAATTGAAAAAACGTTTGCAGTTCCTGTCGATATTTTCAACGATCCATTGTATAATGAAGATGGTACACGTAATGAAAGAATCCCATTTGAATTGTTCATCATTCGGAAGCAGCAGGAAGAAAGAGAGAAAAATAGAAAGCAGGTGAAGGTTTCAACGATTACTCGACGAGACAATACGGTCTTCAAGGAAGCAATTAGGAAATTAAAAATTGACAGAGCAAGAGAAAATGTTCACAAAATGAAATACATTAAAGCTCTGGCAAAATCACGAGCAACTGATAAAGGCACAAGGAAGGTTGAAGCGAAGAAACTTTTTGAACAAAAATATCAATGTCGGCTTCGATGCAAGGAAAGAAATGAAATTAGAAAAAGATCAAAATCTCGATCACGTTCAAAATCCAATGCAAGAAAGGAAATAGTTAAAGGAATTTTAAAGTATAAGAGACCAGTCATCAAACTACCACCATTAAAAATGAGACCTAAGAAGATGGAAGTGCAAAATGAAAACGAAACAGAGTGTCAGAAGCAAGACAAAAAGAAGCCTAGATTTCCAGCGATAACAATCCCACCATTCAAAACTCGTAAATGGGTACCAGTTATTAATCCAAAACCATCAAAACCAAAAGTTGTTATCGAGTATCCTCCATTAAAATTAAGAAAGAAGTAAGTAGAACTTTTTGATCATTTTATTGAGATTTGAGTCGGCAACTTTCACGGAGAGGTGTGCTGGATGTTGAATTATTGTCTTTTAAACTTTCTATGTCAAATTAAATTAATCAATTTGTGTTGTTCATTAGACCATGGAAACCAGCTCAGGATACAAAGGCACAAAAGAAAATTTATAGAACATTAAAGCTTTTCTATCCCATTCCTTTTTCAACACTTGGAAAAACGTGGCATTCATTTAAATTTTTATCATCAAAACAACAAATACTAAGCGGCAAGCTTACACAATATTCAAAGAAATTCAGCTTTATTAGTAATGGAAAACAGGTACAACATTTAGCATGACTCATTTAAATTTATCAGGAATTAATTTTTATTAATTTTTCTAGAGCGCTTTCATATCTATCGTAGCCTTGTCAACTTTTGACTTACATTCAATGAAGTCGTGGAAAAGCTTTCTTCTTGATGAGATAATTTCATATGGTGACATAAACTTCCGACGTCAATTAAAGCAACTGAAGCATAAGAGCGTAATTAAGCCATCAAATGTCTATCATAAAATTTATTTGAAAAATGCAAAATTTTTGGTGGAAATTGGTGAGATGACTGCTAAAGGAATTTATGATGCCGACAATGTTGCAGATATCCATTTGCACTTCAAAAATATTTTTGAAAAATTTAAATCATTGATATTTCTGTATAATGGACAAAACTATGCTATATGGGAGGAAGATAACGCATACTATATCTTTAATGCAGAGGATACAAATGAAAAGGGAAAATTGATCGAGAAAAATCGCGGTGGATGTTGTGTAATTCGTTCAACAAGCTTGTCGACAATTGTTGAATATCTTATTGATACCTTTAGAGTCATGAAGCAGCTTTATGAAATCTTTTCCTTCCGTGTAAATCAAAAATTAATGATTCAAGATTTGAAAAGTCCTCCAAAGGAACTCGGTAGAGTTTGTGAGATAACAAATGAAAACATCGAAGCAGTTGATAAACCTCAAGTCATAGATTTAGATCATCAAGAGATTATAGCACCTAAGACAGGACTTTCAGCAGTTTTATTTCGTCACAAAATTGAACCAACATTTGGAGATAGCTTTCAATATTCATCAATTCCAAATCATATGTTCATAACATGTGCTAATTATCTTAACAGAGGAACCAAAAATCGTGCAACATTTATATCATCAGTTGCTGTTGTTATGCTACAAATTTGTAAATCGTCATTATGGATGTCCACAACAATGGAAAGAATTTTTAAAATCGGCAATGAAGTTTATTATGAAAATGTTGAAAAAGTTTTTACAGAGCGAGAAAGAGATGAGCTTGAAAGATTAAAAGCAATGCACCCAGCTGAAATGGAACCAGAACCAATTGAAGAAAATTCTGATATAGAAGACGAAGATTTTGATGATAACGATGACGATGATGATGAGCCGAAGTCATTAACCAAAGAACAAATAAGAGCTATTAGACGAGAAAGACTAGCAAAGCCTCATGTAGAAACTAAAATTAGAGAGGAAGTTCCAATAACTGAAATAAAGCCTGCAATTTCAATTGGCAAGATGAAATATGAAATTTCTGTTGAGACATTAAATATTGGAAAGATTACATCAAGAAAACGAGAAGAATTGAATTTGGAATGTGGAATTATTAGCCTTTTTAAACAGTACGATTATGGCTTGATAATTGGTCCCGATGTTGTTGCTGTGTGGCGTGAAAATAGTCGTTACTTTATGTTTGATCCAAATCAATGTAAAGCATATAGGAGATTTAATGATGAAGATATCGAACCGTACAACAGCTGTTTAAATTGCTTCCAAAATCTTTCTGATCTCATTCAACTTTATATTGAGAACTTGCCTAAAAGCAATCGAAATGCAATCTATAAGATTTGTAAAATTGAGTCAAGAGACTACAAAGAAAAGTCTACAGATTGGCAGAATTTTAAATCAGTTGGACAAAACAAGTGGATCCTTTCAGGAAACATTTGCGAATCATCTGGTGAATTCGATGAAGACAACAGAAATCATCAATCAACATGTATATCAATTACAGCAATAGCCAAAACACGAGAAATTGGAATATCGTCATGGACATCCAATGAGATTGATGAAATTGTTCGAATTGGAGATGAATTTTATTCTGTTTGTATCGAGAATCTGAAACAAAAGGGAAAATTTGAAAGCCAAAATTTGGTATTAACTGAAATTGGAACTGAATTAAAACTAGAAAATATCATCGTCGACTTGAATTATGAAGAACGAGTAATAGAAGGAATATCACATGCGAATATGTCGCTATCAAATGGATTAAACAAGTTCTTTAAAAATGATGATTTAGGAATAATCAATTTCGGTCTTAAAGCATTGGCTGTTCTTAAATACAACGATGCATTCTTCTTGTTCGATAGCTGTGGACGTGATGAATTTGGAAGAAATTATAAAACAATTGGTAAGCCTATCCTAAGATTAATTCACGAATAATAAATATCTAATAATGCAAATTTTTCATATAGATCCTATTGATGCATGCACAGTCAAAGGTTCTGCTTGCATGCTTCGTTTTATTAAGATTGAAGACCTGTCGAACCACCTGATAATGAACTTTGAAGAGCCACATTTCTCGATCACAAAAGTCGAAATTTCTGTAAGATCATCGCAAGCACCGTGTCTTTATAATTACAAAATATTTGGAGAGGAACCTTATGGTGCAATCCTTAAAGCATTCAATAATTATCATGAAGATTGTGAAGAATTCAAATGTGAATCATCGTTAAAAACAATTTGTAACTTGCTGTCTTGCTTATGCTATGCAAATATTTTTAATCCTCGATTTTGGGCTCCAAATGATTTAAATGAGATTCTTAAAATTGGATGGAAGTTCCTTTGTAAAACTTTTAACTCCACTGATGACCTGTGGGAAATACTAAAGCAAGTTGATGTTTGCTCATCTAAATTAAAGCTGGAAGTTTTGGAAGAACATCAAGGAATTTTTATGATTAAGGAGAGGATTTTGTCAGGTCTTAGTAAATTAGATGAAGTTATTGAGGATCACACAGAAATTTCGGTAATCAATAGATCAATTGATGATCAATATAATGAAGTTGTGAATATTCGACGTGAAGACCGTTCATCAATGTTCCAAACTCTTAAGTTAGAAGGCAGTATCGTTTTGGAAAATGTACTTCAAAGTTTCATTCAAAACGATAAGTCATTTGCCATTTTAAGCTCATCATTGTTCACGATTGCGATCTTCAGAATTGAAAACTTTTATTACGTGTTTGATCCTAAAGCATCAATGAACGGAATGCTAATACGAAAAAGATTGGAAGACTTTATTAATAATAATCTGAGGAAAGAACATGACATGCTACTTGCTAAACTGAAGGAGTCTAACAACTCTAAACGTGTCTCTATGGAAGAAAAAATGGAGGAATTGATATTTGGTCGTAAAGTGATTTTTGGAGCACCAACAGTTAAGCCATCTCAAGTGGAAATTGTATATACGTCAAGTTATGGAGCAGTGAATAGTGAAGATCCAATAAGTATAAGCGAGAAAGGTTGTGCTTATGTTTCTTGGTTTTCGTCAATTGATCTTTTACATCTACATGTTATTAACAAAATTCCTGAACGATTTTTGGATGAGCCATTCACAATGCAGTTTATTGATATTTCAAAAAGTGAGGCAGAATTCAGTGAAGTCACAATGTGGAATAACTTTGAAAAGATCCATGACAATCATTGGATAATTCGTGGAACATTTTCTCAAAATGATTCACAATTTCCAGCTACTCATCGAAATAATCAGGATGTCCCGAATTGTATATTGGCACTAGCATTTAAACAGTTCTGCAATGATGAAGAATGGAATACAACAGTACTCGATGTAATTCTGAAGTTTGGCGACCGACTATTCCGAAAATCTCTTGCGAAGAAATTGAGCACTGCATCAGTTAATCATGAAGATCTCAAATTGAAATTCTCTGAGTTGGAATGTCCAATATTCATCCGACCTTTCATTATCAAATGCAGTGAGGATATGATGCATGAAGATATTATTGTAAAGCATAGTGACGAATTTCCACTGGAAAATTTCAAAAAAGTTATAAACGATTTCCTTACTGGTGAAGAAAATACAGGAATGCTAATTTCAAAAAGTTACGCTGTCGCAATTTGGAAAAATAATGATGGAACATTCTTAATGTTTGATCCTCATGACATCGGACCAGATGGCCGAAGAAAATTTGCTGGATTGTCAAGTCTTCAAAGATTCACGAACTCATCTGATCTTGTTGAGATTTTCTGGAACAATGTTAAAGAGTTTGAAGGATTTAATAAGTTCCAGTTATTTAAAGTAAAAACTGAACTGAATCATTTTAAGGATGGTGAGCAAGATATTTTTGAAAGTATGGAGCAAGAAATAGTTAATCCTAAGTTCAAGATGATTGTTGGAAAGTCGGCTAGTCCAAATACCACAAGTGTAGAAATGACAATTTGCTACGCAATTGCTGCTCATTGCTTATGTCAATCATTAGACGCTGAATATTATACAAGTGACATAGTAGATAGAATTATTATGTTTGGAAATGAACTGGTTTGTGAATGCTGTACAAATGATGAAGTTTGCTTTAAAGACTTCAACTTAGACAAATACTCATCATGCCCCGATGAAATTAATTGGAATTTTCAACTTAATGACTGCTTTACAACAATTCAAATGGATGTTTTTCGTCGTGGTGTTATTACAACACAACCATGTCCTTTGCCAAATCTTATTTTTGTGCTTGAAGAATTCTTCGATTTTCATTGTTCGGGCTTGCTTGTTACAAATGAGTTTATTGCTTCACTCTGGAAGGATAACAATGAATATTACATATTTTATTCGTGCCGAATTGATAAAAGTGGCAACAGAAGTGATAGTAATGGAAATGTTGGACTCGTCATATTTAAAACAGTTCACGATCTTTATACAAATATCCTAAACAACATAAGATTTCAAGCATCATCCTTTGAATTGAGAACTTGTAATATTAAAATGGCTGATAATGTTGGATATTCTAATCAAAAGACGTGTACGAAGAAGAACAACATGAGGTGGATGAAAAATATTGCAAAAGAGGAAATTATCATGCCTGCAGTTTCATTTAGAGAAGTTGAAATTAATGAAAATTCAATTGATGCTTCAAAACATTGCAAGCAGGATAGAAAAGTTATGATTGAGAATTTAAAGAGATGCGGAAGCGATAAAGGTTTTATCAAGTTTTCTCGAGGTGGCTTTGTTTGTGGAAAATTATCCAAGAATTCAAAAAGTCTTAATGAAATTTCAAGGAAGTTCCATGTAAGCATTCATTTTATTTTAAATCTGTACCCATTTGTTCTTATCACGATTTTTCCATAAATAGTCGCCAGCTATATGTTTATATTCAGCAGCAATGCATGAAGTTGTTAATATGAATTGTTGGAATAGTGATGTCATTGACTGCATTATATTATCAGGCAATAGCCTATATGTTGAGTCATCAATAGGTAAGTTAATTGTTTTTACAAAATATAAATAAATCGTGACTTAAATTTTGATTCTATATTATAGTTTGTGGAACTTCTGAAGTGGACATCACGTCAATCGTGAGTCCAATACTGATAAACAATCATGAGCTAATCGCTAAAGCTGAATCATGTCTTGATTTTGCACTTGAAGATTTAAAAATTGCGCATCTTAAGTCAATTTTATGTGAGCTTCTGTCATGTTACAATGCATGTTACCTATCAAAAGCAAGAAATTTCTTCACAATTGTGAAATCTGATAAGTTTTACTTCTTGTTTGATCCTCTTGGGATTGAAATTCTTGGAAAGAAAATGTCTCAACACCGAGCTGTACTATACAGATTTAGCGAATTAGATCAGCTCTTGGAACTGCTATTAGAATCAATTGAATGTTTAGATGAAGAAAAGTTGATTGACGATGTCTACAAATTAGGTGGAATATTGATTTCAATAAATAAGAAGCTGACAAAAAAGATTGTTAAAAAGCCAAGAATGATCAAGAAAAAAATTGTGAAATGTATTGCATTTAATGTTCCAAGAACAAATCGTAACATGATTCTTCGTAAGATTCCTGAAAAAGATCAACCTGTATGCTGTGAAAGTAGAAACATAATTTGCTAAATAAAACCAAAGAGACTGAACTTCGACAATAAGCTATAACATTTTTTTTAAAGTACTTAAAATGATACGTCAGAGAAATTTGGATTGAATACAAAAAAAGGATGAATGCATAAATGCAACAATAAATTTCCATAATTTGAAATCAATCGAAATAAAGTACAACAACTTTAAAAAATTTAAGGAGAATGACTTTGACAAGATTAAATGTTCATAAGAAATATTGACATTAAAGCGTGTTATGGACATCCTTGTTTAATCCATTCTTCATACAATAAAAGTAAGTTTTGTAACTATTTTAATCAAAATGGTATTTTTGAAAATTGTCAAATTTTAACTTAGCATTCCTAAAAGATTAATTTCATTTATATGACATTCTTATACATTTATCAGAAATCTGGATGTCATATGAAGAATATTCAGATGAATTGCTCGAGCGAAACTGTCTGAATGCTCCCCAATGAAAATTTTTTGGAAATAATAGCTATGTTTGACTGAGTTTTGTCTGAAAAACTATTGCATTTGTTGGTATTGGACATCACATTGACGGGATACGAATTTATATCTGGATCAAGTGCATGGAAAATTTTAAATTTGGAACTCATTACCATAAAGAAAACCCTTAATGATTCGTTTATCAAATTACGAAATTCATCAATTAACAAAGGAATTATAATCAGTTTCTGGATTTGATTTGAGATCTACTCTTATTAATGTTCTTGAAATTAATGAAATCGATCAATCAACTAATCGAATGAGAGCTTCTTTAGTCTATCAATAACAGGACACACTTGATATATTCAGATTGGATGATACATTTGTTTGGTTTCCTGAAATGCAGAGCAAGAAATAAAGGAATTTTGTATACAAAAAGAGAGATGTCGTGAACAGGAAGGATCAACTAGTGAAAAGGTCTTGTAAGTGACAAATAACTTGCTGCTTATTTCAAAACAACACTTGAAAGGTAAGAGCTTTACATGTTTTGTTTTTCATTCAATGAAATATTGAAGAGTTTTAAGTTTTGGTGGCTTAAAATCAGGGTTCAATTTCTTAACAATATGTGATGAGATTTTTAAACACTGTCCATAACTTCACATGCTAAATCTTCTAATGAATCGTCCAAGTGATTAAATGATATTAATACTTTTTCAGCTTTCAAATGACTGTATTTAGCCAAGTGACGTCGAACACGAGATTATTCTGCACAATAGCTTTGAGTGATTCAATTAACATCATTAAGACTTGGCATGCATGTTTCATGATAAAGTTGAGAACAGGTGAGCTTCCTCATTTATTGAAAGACATTAACACTTAATCTGCATCGAATCGACTAAGCTTTTACTATTGTAAAAATGTTATTAGATTCTCGTACACAAAACCAACAGATCTGTTTTAATTGAGATTTTGAAATTAGTTCATCCTTAAAATCTAAATCGTGGGAAATAGTTCTTCATTTGTATGTATCATTGCTTGCACAATTGTTTTAAATGCATTTTGTTTTATCCACCTCGAGTTTCGTTATTGTCACGATTTTCTGACGTGCTGATCTCATTTGATATAATTATTTCATGCGATAAGTTTTCACAGTACTTCACCGAAAACATGTAGAATGAAATAAAATGCTGTTTAATATTAAATATTCCTAATTTTAGTGCTTTTATTCTAAAGATTCCAAAAAAACTTAAAGCTTTAATTTAATTTCTCTTTTATTTGTAAATCATTTCAGACTTTGTCAAAAGAATTCTTTCCATTTTCAAAGGTCGACAGGTGACTTTAGGAACCTATTCAGAAATCAAACATGTCAAAAACTAGTTCATACGAAGACTAGTGGAAAAAATAAGAAAGAAAAGTAGCCAAGACATCGACTACTATGTAAAATCAGAAATAAATCCTATGCATAATGACGACTAATGAAATAGACGAACCTTAATACAAGCAAATTGATGAAAATAGTTTGAGCCTAAGTATGCATTCAAAGATGGAAGCCAAAAAATAGATGCATTCAGAAGTAACAATAAATCCACAAATAATCGAAAATCAAAGGTGAAACTAATACGCAATATTTTACATTTCACAGCTATGCATTGCTAGCGATTTTTATGTTCCCTCGACCTTTTGAGATGTTGATGAAGAGGATATTCGGAAAATTGAATTGAGTTTTCAACACATTTTGGACACTGATTGGGAACATCTTTGTTGGTAAACATGGAGTTTGGAAATTTGAAGATTGTCAATCATAGATTTCGGTACTAAGAGCTGATTGAACTAGTTCAAGGGCAAAATTCGTATTATTCTTGTTGAAAGCAAGATAATTCGAAAACGAGCGTGAACTCGACGCTATGTGCGCAGTTATCAGTAAGAAAAGTCAAGTTACCAAAAATCTATTTGAATTTGTTCAAGGAATAAGGTAATATTTTTCATACCAGTTTTAGGCATATAGAGTGCTTACATTTTGTCTTTTATAAAATATTAAGAACCACACTAATGTTTTAACTTTTTCTCTTCCTTACTTTTTTTTGAAATGCTCACGAAATATAAAGCTATGAGCAAACTTAAACGAAACTCACAAGATTACATTTAGTAGTTTAGATTAGAAACAAAAATGTGACATCTATGAATAAAAACATGAAAGAAGAAGATGAAATCAATCGTGTCAAAAGGAATTATGTAACACTTCAAGTCATATATGTAAATCAGAAGATCATTGTAAAAGCATACGTTATAAAAACCGAAGCCACTCAAATGCCAAATCGAGAGGTATTCTTCAGTAAAAAAGATAAGTTTTCTTTTTCTATCAGAATGTTCTTCAAAATAAAAACCAAATAAGAACCATCAATGAATTGGTCTTTGTGCCGACAGTATTTTGGTATGTAGTCAAAGGAGCAAAAGGAAAACCAACGGATGAAAACTTCACTGAAAAAAACAAAACGAACTTAATAACTCAAATTCTAATGAGTTTTAAAAAGAAAAATTTCATCAATCTCAGAATCAAGAAAATGATGAGATTCTATGGCAAGATGCATAAGATTCTACGCAGTTTAGCCCGAAATTACTTATTTGATGAGATCATTTAAGCATAAAAAATCTTTGACAGCATAATTGTGTCACAAGAGAATCAAAAGACGATCTATCATCAATCTGCATACCAAACAAGTTAAATCTAAAACAAAAAATAAAAGGAAATCCTCAACAGAATATTCGACTTGTCACAAAAATCGAAGTCAATAGGCCGAATTATGATCAACATGATACAATTGGACTTGCAATAAATTAAGAGGAGGAAGATTAAAAATACATCTTGAAGCAAATGATTCTCCTTGAATTCTCATCGCACCACTAAAATCAATAGGTCACAAGATTATGACGAACTTCCAAATCACTCTCAACAGAAGACTTATTTGAAGCTTTAACTAGAGTAAACGGTAGCAGAGGAGTAATTATCGTGATATGAAGAAACAACACTCCCAATTTCAAAGAAAGTGCACGTGATCTGATGGAAGCTTGAACACATCAAAAATGAAAAATGAGTGAAGAGCCAAAATAGTTCATCTCACAGCATGATCAAAATTTTGGAGAGTATAAAAAAGCACGATCGCATTACTAACGTACTTCGTGAAAGGAATGAACAACCACGAACCTTACATTACAAGCAGCTCTACATATTGACCTATCAAATCGAAACCAAACTGGACAGTCTTCAATTATTTTACAACCCTATAATCCAATGGAAGATCCAGTCAAAACAAATTTTCATTTTGTGTCACAACTTATCTTCACATAACCGACTATACTTGTTCAAGGCAAGATGATTCAAAAACGAAAAATTGACAAAACTTCAGCAATTGTTCATCATCCGACTGGAATTACTTTGATTGAAATCAACTGATGAGATTATGAAACAAGGAGACTACATTCAAGCCTTTTTGATTCAAGAAGATTGATAAGATGTGAATTTAAATGAAAATCTAGTCGACAAAACAATGACGTTCTGCCAGAAAAAATTGAACGAAATTTTCTGCTTTTAGAGGTCGAGAGGTGAGTTTAATTTGCACTTTTAGTAAATTTAAACATTAAAGCAAGGAATGCATCTTTAACTGCTCAATTTAAACACCTTGCTTAAAATAGGTTGACAAAAAGCAATTTTTCAAGATTTTAAAGAAAATTTAAAATTTGGGCAACACATTTGTCTTTATCATCGATCATCTTGTTGAAATAGGATAAAGTTTGGTTGCTAAAGCTAATGGCGCATATAAATCATTACTTGTTAATTTTCTAGATTATTTTAATTCTCATCTTTTTCAAGTATTTAATATACGAAATTAGTTCGCAGATTAAGAGAGCGAATTCAGCGACAACATCTCAACAGACAGCAAAGAAGATTCGAGACAATATACAAGCCTTAATGATTCAAAACTACTGATAAGATGTCAAATTTTATGAAACTACTTTTTAAAATTCCAAAAGAACTCATCAAGCAACTCCGAATCAGATGAGCCACCCAACAAGATCTGTCACCAGCTACTGAACAAAAAAATCAAGTAGAAATTATTGCAAATTTCAAGATGGTCATATTCTTTTAGATCGAGCAAGCACATCGAATATGACAACACTACAAATTCCATCAAACAAGATGCAGCAAATCTCTCCAAATTCGAAACTACAAAAGCAGAAGAAAAAACAGCAGATCATCTCACGTATAAATTCTCCAAAAGAAGAAGTAAATGATTGTGAATTGTGGTCGAAAGCTGAACAGAAATAGCTATATGGGTGGGACATCGCAACAAAAGCAAAATGCTGAATAAACTTCCTACTGAACGATAAAATTTCACTATGTGATACGCCATACATTACCAGGTAATACATTTTACTAATTCTTTTAAACTAGTCAAAAAGACTTTTAATGCAAATGAATAATGAAAACGCCCCACCGTCCTGCACAAAATTTTTTTTCGGCACTTAAAGTTCCTTCATTTTCTTGACATTTTGACAGTGATATTATAAGTACCCAATTCTTTTATTTACATTCATTTTTTTTAA